TGCCTATGTCCCAATCCCATTGTCAACGTCTTTGCCATTTAGGACAAGTCTGTCCAGAAAATAACAAATTTCTCATTCCAGCCCTTGCCGTTGGAAACAGAAAAAAGACCCTCGACCCAGATTGCATTTGCATCTCAATTCCCAAAGCCTGCGAGAGAGACGCTGAATCCAAATTTCCAATCCACCAAGGCCACAAAAAAATCCTTTCCTTATAACACGTCAGCGGCAAAGACCGCCAACCATTGGAGATAAGAAGCGGCTCACCAATCCCATTTCCCCACGTGTCATCAGCACATAATTTCCTCTTAAATTTCTCCGAGTTTATTTTAGTCCTTGTCTTCCATTCCAGCGCTGAAGTATTGGTGGACACCAAATTTCTCTCACTACCTAATCGTTAAGAGCCCTTCCTACCCAATTACCCATTCACTGAAGAGAGAGAAACAGAGAGGAGGGAAGGATGTCTGCTGCATCACTGTGTTCTTCAACTCAGATCAATGGACTTGGTGGGGGTCTCAGGCTTCAAAGAACCAATCTTTCTCAACCCAAGTCGATTACTATTGCCTCCAGGTATTGTTTTCTCCACAATGGGTATTTGTTTTCATTGAATTTTTCTGGGTTGGTAGACTTTTCTTTTGGTGGGTTGATTGTTGTTGAGGTTGTGTCTCCTTTGGTGTTTCAGATGTTTTAGAAGTAAATTTATGTTCCGGGATAAGGGCAGATTAGAATGTTAAGATTTCATTGTGTTGACCCTTAGTTTGTTCCAATTTCTGATAATTTGTGGCCTACATTTGAAAATCTTCAATATCAAGTATTTTTCTGGCTTATGAAGGTATGAAGCTTATGAATTGGTGCTGAAAATACAGTCTATATTAGGTGATTTCTGGCTTCCCCGTTTTTCATCTTATGATGAAAAGGTGGATGAGTTATGCTTTTGATGCCATTCGCCAACCTTCCCAATCTCAACAAACATGTTCATCATGGCCATCTATTAATCATTCGTTTAGAATTTAAGAACAAGCTAACAGTAACTTCCTACCATCATTTTCCTATTTCCTAGACCACCATCATATTTAGTTCTAAAAGATAAAATGCTATTTCTAAGGCATTTCACCAGCATGAACTATCTTTTTGTCTGCTTTCTCATCATAATTGGTAAGAATCACAAAATGCCTTATACTATTTTTGTGGAAAACTACAGTTTGGCTGAGAAGCAATGTTGAAATAGTTCTTAATTAGTCTTATTGTTGGCTTCATGTTGTCCACCTTGTTTTGTTTAATTTGGTGATGGATGAGAAGTAGAAATGTTACAATATACTTTAATTTCAATAATTAAACTCAAGATTTATTATTCATAATTTGGTTGTTACAGATTCAGACTCCTAAAGATAAGGGGAAAATGTATAATTGCTAGAAGATATACTTGTCCTCCAGATATTATGCTGTCTGTTTCTAATATGCTTCTGTTACATTTTCCTATAAAATCTAGGAGAAAAATATGTACTGTGGTGAAGGCTTCAGCTCGTGTTGATAAGTTCTCAAAAAGTGATATCATTGTCTCTCCATCTATTCTTTCTGCTAATTTTGCAAAGTTGGGGGAGCAGGTGCTGTATTTTGCTCTTTGGTCTTTGTTGCAAGACTGCTTTGGTTAATAATGCTAGCTCTTAAAGCTGTGAAAGAGAATTTGCATATTATTTGTTTGAACATGCATGAATAATTTTTTATGTTGGCATAACCTTGTTTAGTTTTGGCATTTGGTTATTTCCAATTTAATTTTGACATAATTTAAATTTAATTTCTGGCATTTAGTTTTTGCCACTATTTCCTAGTTTTCTCTTCATGTCTTGCTTGATTTCTATGATTTTTTTAACTCAATTTGAACTTACTAGTAATAGTTTGGCTTTCATAAATATTTCAGGTAAAAGCAGTTGAGTTGGCAGGTTGTGATTGGATCCATGTTGATGTTATGGATGGTCGTTTTGTTCCAAACATCACAATTGGACCTCTTGTGGTTGATGCGTTGCGCCCTGTAACAGATCTTCCTCTGGATGTGCATTTGGTATTCTTCTTTTTGCATTCTTCTTTCTTTTCTTGACAAATTTTCAATCAAAATTGTAGTAGCAATCCTGACAACAATGAGCTGCAGATGATTGTCGAACCAGAGCAGCGAATCACAGATTTTATCAAGGCTGGAGCAGACATAGTCAGTGTTCATTGTGAGCAATCATCCACCATCCATTTGCACCGTACAATTAATGAGGTAAGGTTTTTCTCAGATCCTTGCTATCATATTTTTCTATGATAGAGCTACCTGATTTTATATGCAATATTTTCTGAAGGGTATAACAATTTCTTCTCTGATTCCATGTAACAATACATGTGTTATGGTGGTTTAACAGACCTATCTAATCAGGCGTCTCCTAAAATTTTTCACCTTTATTATTTGGGGTTTACCATGTGATCCAATCTTATTAATCTCTGTAAAGGTTCCTCCTTTAGATAGAAAAACTAGATGTCAAGGAATATTGGTAAAGAGCACATAACTTATCATATTTTGATAGTTAATGTGATTTTTTTGGAATTCCATGGTGACACTGGAATCCTGGTCGAGGTAGGTCTGTGTGCTGTCTTTTGGCTGTACTAAACTAATTATGAGTCTAATTTCTACTTGTCTCTGCACAGTCATTTGATTGTTCAATGATACTTGAAAATAATCATGTGATCTGACCATAGTTGAACCCTATTGTGATTATTTTACAGTCATCTGGTAATGAAGTTTCACAATGAATCTAACTTCAAATCTCCACACTGACTCATCCTAAATTTTAATAAAATGGGATTATTTATAATAATCATGATAAATACTGTGAGAAACTGGTTTCAAACTGTTTGCTTGTTAATCATTACTTGAAAAGAGTAACTTGTGACTACTTCTGCACTTGCCTGTTTCTATTTTGATAAAAAAAAAAAACGCTCACCTTTCTAATTTTCTAATATCTTGCATGAAAATCCCTTTGCCATTGGACTGCCACTGTTTCTCACTTCTGAGAAATCTCTACCTTTTCTCTTGATTTAGATAAAAAATCTGGGTGCTAAAGCTGGAGTCGTCTTAAACCCTGCTACACCATTGACTGCAATAGAGTATGTGCTTGATGGTGAGTTTGGTATTTTATACATGTTCTTCAGTTTACTTTTTCAATTAAGCTGGATGGTTCCTGTAGGCTGTAAGAGGTAATAGATGGTTTTATGGTATATGTTGCTAATTGGTAGACTGAGAATTAAACTAGAAATATATCAACAAATAATACAGACAATGAAGAGGAAGGATTACAGATCCTTTATGAGAACTCAGAAATCAATCCAGCCCTACATCTAATTTGGATTCATTTGGCCAAATGACAAATGCTTTTACTAACCTCCCTTGTGTGTTTTAACAGTGGTTGATCTGGTATTGATTATGTCGGTGAACCCTGGTTTTGGGGGGCAGAGCTTTATTGAGAGCCAAGTAAAGAAAATCTCTGATTTAAGAAGATTATGTGCAGAGAAGGTATAAATTTGTACTCATATTTGATGAATTGCTGTGTATTAATGCTTGAAAAACCAGGGACATCTCTTTTATTGTTTTCACTGCAGGGAGTAAACCCATGGATTGAAGTTGATGGTGGAGTTGGTCCAAAAAATGCTTACAAGGTGATTGATAAAAACCATGACATTTTTGTTTTTGGTTATTTAGGCCTCTTGTAATCTATGAACCAAAATCCAATAACTTGTTCTTGATGCTGACAGGTTATTGAGGCTGGAGCTAATGCTCTCGTTGCTGGTTCAGCTGTCTTTGGAGCTAAAGATTATGGTGAAGGTGTGAACAAACAAACAATCACTTAATATAAATTTATTTACCTTTGACTGAATCTTAACATTTGATATCTTGAAACATTTTTTACAGCTATTAGAGGAATCAAAACCAGCAAAAGGCCAGTAGCAGTTGCTGTGTGATTGACAACCATCGGATATCAGATCTAAATACAAACCATGAAGTATGTCTCTTTCTAACTTTGTTCATCTGTTGGATATGCATATCTGAATTTCTGCTATAAATTTGCTTGATGCATGAAGAATACACTTAATCTGCATAGAGTTCCGGTTATGTTTCAAATATTTTTGCCACTTAAGTTGGACAGTTGGTTTTTTGTTTGCAGATAATAGCGACAAATGGATAAGCAGTGTGCTGCTGCCTTCATATTGTTGTCAGATCTACTTGCAGTATCAGATAACTGGATAAATAATCTAATGAAGGCAGCGGTAGGACAGTGAGTGAAGCTTACTTTGTGTACTATTTGCAATTTAGGAATTGAGTGATTCACATCTATCAAAATCTCCATCAGTTTCTTTTTAATAAAGCAGTCCTTTCACCTTTGTTGTTGATGCTTCAAAATTTATTTTGCTAGTTTTCTCCATGGACGTCAAGGTTCCATGACATTGACTTTGAATCAATGTTTTGTAGTTAGTGGATGGGCTAAACTCCGTATTTGAATTTTTTACAATATGAAATGATTAAATTCCTCTAAAAAACCCATGATCCAAAAGCAACTTTTAATAGTTTGAGGTATGAAGCTAGCTTGGCAAGTGCAGCATATTGACATCAACAACATGAAAGTTAAAAAACGAGGCAGAAACCCAAGCCGCCCCCCCTTTCCTCCTTTGCATTGCTGCTTTGCTGCTTGCTCCTCTCCCCTACAACGGTTTGTCCACCTTGGTTTAGGGTCTCCATAGCGTGATTATGTCCTGCCACCACATGATATGTCTATCTCTCTTGGTGAAAGAGGGTTGTTGGGTCCAATTAGTATAATTTGGTTTGGGTAATGATATAGAGATAATTTTTTTGTATAATTTTTTTTATACAAATTCTACATATATCATTAAATAAGTAGATTTTTTCAATATCATAAGTCTCAAATAAATGAAAAGAGTCAATTATTGAAATGACAAATAAAGTTATACAAAAAAATTATCTTTGAATTATTTTCTAATTTAGTCCCCATTAAAGTTTTCCTTTTGGAGTAGGCATTTTCTTGGCTTTGAATTAAGGCGTCTGACGCGCAAGTTTCAAGTTTTATTAGCATTGGCAAATGAAGAAGGATCTTTCATTCTTTCTTGGTCTAGAGCAGTGTTGATGAAGGCGCTAAGCACCTTTGAGCACCAAGCCTCTGCCTTGCGCCTAGGAAGCACTCATACCACCTTGGCGATTTGTGCATCACTTAAAAAAAAATATCTGAAAAGTTCAGAAAAATTGGAAAAAAAAAATAATTTATAAGCCTAAAAACAATTAATCAACAAAACTAAAAATGAAGGAGTAGAAGAAATGAAGCTATAAAAAATTTTAAATGATCGACATTTAGGGTTTTTTTTTTATTTTTTATTGACTTTTGAGAACTATCCAACTCATATTTGTTTTTTATTTCCTAAAAACATTAAAAACAAACCGTGTGATTTAAAATTTTCTTTAAATAAAACACAAAAACGAGTATAAGGCAAGATTGCCCTGTCGCCTAGGTTAAGACAAATGACATAAGGTCGTGTTCAATGAAAGCTTGCTTTGATGTTCTCAGTTCTCTTTAAAAAAAGAGCAAAACATCAATTTGCATGCCCATTCGAGCATTTGCCAAAAGAGAGCCGAGCTCTTGACTCTCTTCCTTTTTTTTTCCTTTGCCCCAAATGCACAAAGAAATTTACAAAGTCTACAGTGCCTAACACAATGTCAGGCAGTGCAGACGAAAGTGCCCAACCGTTGGATATAGTAATCCAACTGCTGGAATTGGTTTTTTTTTTTTTTCAAAAACAATTCATTTCAAATTTTTTAATTAGAATATTTAAATAAAAATTGAATTAAACAATATTAATATATTTTTAAAAAAAATTTTATTTAAGTATATGTATTGGAGACAGGGTATTTAATTAAGTGTTTTATTTTAATTATATAAAATATAAATTTATATAAAATAATATTAATTATAAATATGAGTCACCAAAATGAGATTTTTCATTATTCTTCGTGCTGTAAGGTCACCTAGCATGTAGACCCAGGCAGTTTACATACAAAAGTGTAAATTATCTCAAAATTATTATGTTGAAATAAATTCTTATTTGTAAAAATATTTATACAATTTATTATTTAAAATTTTTATTTTTAAGAAATTAATTTAAATTTAATAATTATTGTTAACTTTTTATTAGACTTCAAGGTCACCTAGCATATAGACCCAGGCAAGTTTACGTACAAAAGTGTAAATTATCTCAAATTTATTATGTTGAAATAAATTCTTATTTGTAAAAA